TCTATTCTGGAGAAAGCCCCACATACAGCTGCGAAGAATGTGTATTCTGATGTTGTGGTGTAGAAGACTCTGTAGACTCTACTAAGTCCATTTGTTCTAAAGTGTGGTTCAATTCTAATATTTCATCATTGATTTTTTGTCTATTTGATCTGTCTTTATGTGACAATGGGGTATTGCAGTCCCCCATTACAACTGCATTAGTGGTTATATGATTTTTCATGTCTGTTAATATTTGTTTTGTATAGTTGGGTGCACTGCTATTTGGTACATTTATATTTAAAATCATTATCACTTCCTCTTGGATTGTTCCCTTTACCAGGATATAGGGACCTTTGTCTCTCAATTAGTCTTAGCTTGAAATCCACTTTGTCTGCAAATAGAATAGCCACCCCTGCTTTTTTCTGGTTTCCTATCACATGGAATATTGTTTTCCATCCCTTGACTTTCAGTCTGTGAATGTTTTTCAATTAAGTGTGTTTCTTGTATGCAGCATATTGTTGGATCTTGTTTTTTGATCCGTTCTGCCAGTTTGTTTCTTTTTTTTTGTACCAGGAATCAAACTCAGGACCTTGCGCTTGCAAGGCAGGCACGGTGCCACTGGGCTAAATCTTCAGTCTAAATCCTGCCAGTCTGCTTCTTTTGATTGGTGAATTGAGACCATTAATATTGATGGTTATAACTGATATGTTATTGTCTTATCTCTGTCATGCTATTTTCCTGCTGTTGGCTTCCTTTTTTCCTTTTCTGCTTAATTTCTTGCCTTTCCTGGTAGACTCATTCCATTGGGGTTCATGGAGCTGTAATCCTCATTGTCTCTTTCTAGAATATCCTCCAGAACACTTTGGAGTGCTGGCCTGGTGGTCATGAATTTCTTTAGGTAACCTTTGTCATGGAAGTATTTTATTTCTCCATCAATTTTAAAGCATAGTTTTGCAGGGTACACCAATCTGAGTTGGAGGCTGTCCCCCTTTAGGGCTTGAAAAACTTCACACCAAGCTGTCCTTGACTTGTGAGTTTGTGTTGAGAAGTCTGCTGTGATTCTGATGGGCTATCCTTTGTAGGTGATTTGTTTCTTTTCTCTAACAGCTTTTAATATTCTGTCCTTGTGTTGCATTTCTGGAATCTTGACTATTATGTGCCTTGGGGAAGACTGTTTTTGATCATAGCTAACCAGAGTCCCACATGCCCCACTCATCTGCATGTCAAATTCTTCTTCCCTGCTTGGGAAGTTCTCTGCTATTACTTCTGAGAACAGGTGTTTTTTTTTTTATGTCATTTGCACCATCTCCTGCTTTTTTTCATTGATTCCAATCAATCCTATGTTATTCCTTTGCATCATCTAGCAGCTGCTGGATTGATTTCTCACACCCCTTGCTATTTTCAAGAATTCTCTCCTTTTCTGATCACCAATCACAATCCTGTCTTCTATATCAGATGCTCTGTCCTTGCATTGGCTCATTCTGCTGTGTATACTTCCAATGGAGTTTTTAATCTCCTTGACATCTATTTGAATCTTTCATGGATTCCATGTCTCTCCTATCCTGGGCGTTCATGGCCTCCATCGTGTTCTTGAGCTCCTCTATTTTTTTTATCTGTATCTTTCATTCTGGTCACCATCTCTGTAGTCATCTGGGAAATTATTTCTGCTTTTTTTTCCAGAGCCTCATTCATCTTCTTTGTTACTTCTGCTGTCACCACTTTGGAGAGACCAGGTGGGTGGCCCTCACATTGGCCTCGGGGTTTGCCTTTGGCAAGCTGTCTGTGGGGGTTGCATACTGTTTAAGTGTCTTCTGATTTTCTTTTTTTTTTTTTAAGTTTGATTCCTGAGTTGATGCTTGTAAATTGCTTATGGTGAGTGGCTTTATTGCCAGTATTCAGGACCCTTAGGAAATGATTACTTCTCAGAAGTGTCTTCCAGGTGTAGCTGGCTTTTGGGTTTTGAGTCTGCAGAAGCATCCTACCTCTTCAGTTTATTAGGTATGAAAAGTTTCCACCTACTTGGCCCAGCTGCCAGTTCCTTGGCACTGGCCTATAGGTTTTGTTTTGTTTTCTTTTCTTTTAAGACCTTTATGCAATCTCAGACTTGGTATACCAAGAGGAACAACTGACTGGCACAACTATGTCACCTTGGCTAAAGCAGTACAATCAACAATAACAATAACATCAAATACAGCCTAGAAAACGATAAATTGTAGCCCTGAATATGGCTTTTTTACCCTTAGGGGAGAAGATTTAAAAGGGGTTAGGGAGTAAAAAACAGAAATAGAAGAAGAGGAAGAGGTCAGAAGCAAGTCTGGAAGACAAACTCTAGGAAACTGGTGAAGAAAATATTTGGTAAAGAGAAAAGGAAAAAATAAAAACAAGAACAGAACAGAACAACAACAAAAAAACTAGAAACTGTGTTCGAACAAATAAGAAAAACTAAACAAGAACTAGAAAGGAAAAACAAAAGAAAAAGATAAAAAACCCGAAAATGCCCAATTCAAGGTGTGTCTGTGCTGTCACTTTTAGGCAATGTGAGCAAACAGACTCCAGAGCCAAATCCATCAATCCCAGCAAGCTAGCTGTAGCTTCACAGTGGGGCAGTGGACAATCCCAGCTAGTCTGCCCCTTCAGTTCCTCTGAAGTTCAGGCCAGACTGTGGCCATGAAGCTGGAACTAGATTCCTTGACAGCAACAGTCTGTGTGTCTCCTGCTGGCCTGACCTCTGCTCCCTGACTCCCCACTGACCCAAACTCAGCACCTGCACCAAGGTACTGGAAGCCATAGATGGAGTCTGCCTGCAGCTGTTCTGAGATCCAAGCTCAGTTGGCCCCTCTTCAAGATGACTACCAGCCAATCACCCTCTCCTGGGTGAGGTCTGAACCCAGATAACTCACCAGCCACTGCAGTCTGTCGTCCACTGCTGTTCCACTTGCACACCCCTCCATGGAGACCCCTGGGGTCACCAGTAGTCCCTGTGCATCTGCAGCTCTCTCGAGGACAGTCTGGGCCCCCCGGGAGAGAGCACTGCCTGGCACACCCCTCCTGGTCAAAGTTTCTCACTGCAGACCCCAACTTTTGCCTTGGACACTTCCAGGGTCCCAGGGACCCACTCCCCTTCTCTCCTTCCTCCCCATGCTACTACACTCCAGTGCAAGGACACCAGAACTCGGAGGTGCCCCCCATTCTGCCTACCACCCTGCCCATCCTCCCGGAAGTCTCCCTTAAGAGATTTTAAAGTGCTTTGCTCCATCCTTTTGTAGCCCATCTCTATAAACCTCTCATAATGTGATTTTTAATTTGTCACTCTAGATTGAAAACTGTGTGAAGAATCACAAATCATTTTATTTTGTGCTTCAGCATCTAACATAGTGTTAGCATATAGTAATGCTCAAGTAATGGGTTAATGAGTACATTAATCAATGGAATGCCCTTGTTATTAATCTTGTTCTTGCTCTGCTCTCTCCATACGTCCCTTCTTTCACTCTTAGACTTCTGCAAGTTTATAAATGAAGCAATGTGACCTTTTAGTTTTCTTAGCTCTACAAATGTTGGAAAATGGATTTTGAACCTTAGCAAACAAACTGAAAAAGTTTAAACATTTGTTCATGGATGTGGCAAGGGCAGATGTCACAGGCATCCATGGAATTATTTACCATTCCTGGTTGAGGAGTGAGGTGTCTGGACAGATCTGCCTATCCTAACAGCAGCACAGAGAGATTCTGTCATGCTGGATGTTAGGTAACTGGCCTTTCCCAAGCTTGGAGGCACCTGAGATCCCTTGGCTTGATTTATGGCTAAAATACTTTTTAAGGAGATATTATGAAATAAGGAAAATAAAGTTCCTTACTACTGGCCAACAGTATTAGATGCTAGTGAATGTTAGTCTTTTATCCCCGGTCCTCTTTCCCAAGCTTCCTAAGGTTCCTAAAGACCCAGATTTCTTTGAAATTTCTCTTGAAGAAAGAGGCTGAGTGGCTTGTGCCAGTCACCAATGTGCACATCCTCTTTTCTGATGCTAGTGAGTGGTGAGTGAATTTCCCCTCTGTGGTACGCAACACTTTGAGAGTAAGATGCTTTCAGGGTCTTGACATACTCCAACTGTTGAATCCAGAGCTGTTCTATGTGAATTTCCCAAGGCTAGCACACTCAACTCAGAACCAGGGACCAGTCTGCTGGCCTGAAGTCCTGGAATCACTGGGTATTGCTGTGTCTCTTCCTCCCCTTGCTTGAGGAGGAGCTCTAGATCTTTGCAGCAGGGGTAGGGAACTCCTTAGCAGTATTTTGAGAATAGCAGATGAGCATAAATAAGAACTAGATTTAGTTGCCAGAGGCCAACTTAAAGACCTTAAGATTCTTAGCAACTATTCTAGTTCCATGGGACGGGAATTAATGTGATACACCCTCGTGATGTTCATATTAAGTAGATGCATATGTATGTATATATGCATATAATTAAAACATAAAGGTAATAGAAAAAATAGCTGTAATGTTCAGTTTTCTTACTTAAAAAACAAGTCCTCTTTAAAGCCTTAGATTTGACTTCCTGAAATGCAATACAGTTGAATTTCCATTTAAAAATCACATTTCTATTCTGCAGTCATAGACTTTCCCTATTGCTTACACGCAATTCCTGTTAACTGCAACAAAGGAAGTTGCTTATGGAACAGCTTTGCCTCCAAGCATTTTTAGAGGTGTGTGGAATTGAGGTCAGTAACCCTTCAGTGTTTAAAGGCACCAAGTCTGTTTCCTAGGACGCCTTTTGCCTAGGGAAACGAAAGAGGAATTGTTTTCTTCCTAATTTTTCAAGCTTGTACAAAGTGAGGAGCTGCATCTTCTGGCTGCTTTCCTTAGTCTTTGCAGTCAAAACTCCTTGAAGCTGGGACTCTTGGATATCCTGTAAATACATGCTAGTGATACCTGGTTTTGAGAAGTTTTTAAAGCACTTACTTTTTTTCTCTCTCTTCAGGAGCATCTAAAGGTCTTTGATGATGAAGTCAATGCTTTTTTGGACCGTATGTTTGGACCTCGAGGTGAGTGAGCTACTTGAGAACTAGGTGTGGAAAGAGCTTAGGACAGGTGCCGCTTGGTTATAAAAGGGTTATGCTGTCTGTTGCCTTGAGAATAGCGTGCATTGTAGCACTTAGCAACTTTAACTTCCTTCCTCTTTTATATCCGTCTCCCAGAACATCTCAAAGGCCCATTCTTTCTCCTGCTTAATCTCTTCTGGGATGAAAGAAGAGCAGGAAGCAGGAGCACATGAAAGGTGGTGATTTCCTCCAGTGTCTCTCTGGCTACAAAGCCAAGTTATGGCTTTCTTCTAAACTAGGCTACTTTCCTCTTCTTTCTCCACTGCCCACCTTCTTCCTTCCTTGCCCGTGGAGTCATCTAAGAATTCCTGCCCTTCCATGCCGCCTGGAGTTCCTTTACCCATATGTCACCTTGCTGTGCTTTGGCCCATGGGGATGAGCATAGCAGTCTTCAGTATTTTCACCATCACCAGTCACTTGGACTGCAGCAGTCTCCTAACTGTCTCCCAGCTTCCAGTCATTTATTTTCTGCTGGAATAACGTTCTGAAGAGCTAAATCACACTCTGGGACTCTCCCTTCCAACTCACTGCCATTAAGGTGAAAAGCAAACTTCTTGGCATGGATTTCAAGCGCTTGAATTACCTCCCCCCAGCCACCTCCCTCACTTAGCACCATCCTTCTTCATGCACTTTGTCACAGCCACCCAAGACACCCTGCAATTCCTCAAATATACATAGGCCCTTTATGTGCTGTCTGTACAGCCTGGAGTTCCTCCCTGCTGTCTCCCACCCCGCACTCTGGTCAGCACCTTCTCTCGCATACCTCATGTATCAGGTGTTTCTTTTTCAGACAGCCCCCCCCCCCCCCCCCCAGCAGCCTTTCTTGTTCCCTTCACATACCTCACTGTGATCCGTACCAGTCACTCCCGGGTGGGCAGGAGCCAAGATGGTTTTACCAACCACTTACCTCCAGAGCTAACCAGAGTTCTGGGACCACATTGGTGTTAAATATTTTGCAAATGAGTTGTAGACAAAAATGTTTTGTTTCACTTAAGCCTCACTGGTTCACAAACCTGTGGAAAACTTAGTTCTTCCAAGTTATTTCCTAAGCACTGTTGGGGGAGAGTGGAGGAGGAAAATGAGATTTTCCTGTTTCCTGAAATCTTTAAATAACCACTTAGAAATTCTTTGGCCCATTCCCCATAGCTTTAACATGATGCTCTGTGTACACCTTTTTTAAAAGTATTGTCACAGGGGCCGGGGATTTAGCTCAGTGGTTTTGTCACCTGCTGTGCAAGCGCAAGGACCCGAGTTCGATCCCCAGTACCAAAAAAAAAAGTATTGTCACATTTATTTTTTCCTCTGGATCCTATGGGATAGGCAGGGCAGAATCCCTGTGTTGGTGCCCCCCAACCCGAGTTCCAGCAGGTGGGAAGGCGAGCAGTTCAGGGTAGTGGGCAGGGCTTTCCTGCTCATACAGGCCAGACCCCATGGGAGCCATGATTCCCGGTGACTGTGGCTCTCTGTACACTCCCACCAGAGTTAAACAGCAGCCGCTCAGAGCCAAATTCACCCTGACCCTTTCCATCAGTAAGACCAGTGTGACCTGGAATGATGCAGATAGATCACTGGGGAGAGGACTGCAGTTGTTTACTCAGCATTGCTTATTTTTGCTGGACATTTTCCTTTGTACAGGGAGACTGTAAAATTGACAGTTGACAGCTGGTTCAACCTCCACAGAGATGGGGTATCCTGCATCTAAGCTGTCAAGAACCCTCTTTCCTCCCTGAGAGAGACCCAAATTTAAGTTGACTGGCAGGACACCTAGTGAACTTCTAGGTGTCCTCTGGTCTTTTCTGGTTCAGGGCACAGCATGTCAGTACCTTCAGGGATATGTCTGACACAGATGGAGAGCTAAGAAATGTTACTACAAATATTCCCATGCCTTGGTTGGAGCAATTAACTAATTAACCCTTAACTGTAGCAAACATTTATAGGAACATGAAAGAAAACAAAAAATTTCAGATGCTGCATTCATTTTATAGTTTGCGCTTGACTCAGTGTGCCAGTGAATATTTTTAATGACTGTTTCCTCTTTAACTCAGTGTTAAGTGGATATAAGTGAGATAGAGGAGAGAAATGAGACCTAGTCACAGTTTTATGGAGCACTTACTGTATTTGGGGGGGTAAAATTGCCATATGTGAAATAACTGAAAAGCAATTAAGAACTAACCTCCATATGTTTATTTCCTAGAGCTATCATAACAATGCCACAAACTAGGTGGCTTGCGGTAGCAGAAATGTATTCTCACAGCTGTGGAGGCCAGCAGTCTGGAAGCAAGGTGTTGGCCGGAGCCTGCCCACTCTGAGGTCATAGAAGAATCTGCTTAGAGCCTCTTCCCCCGTTTTGCTGGGGCTGGCAACTCTGGTGTTCCCGAGGCCACCACTCTCTGCCACAGTCTTCACATGGATTCTCTTTGCATCTCTGGATCCAAACTGCCCCCCTTATAAGGACACCACTCATGGGGCTCAGACCCACCCTTATCCACTATGACCTTAACTTGATTATATCTTTAAATCTCTTGCTTCTAAATAGTCCTATTCACAGACATCAGAAGTTAGGACTTGAACATATCTTTTGGGGGGCACAGCTGAACCCAGAACACCATTAATAAGAGGCAAGGTACAAGTTTTATAAACCTTTTTCCTGTTACTCAGTTTTTCTCAGAAGTAAACTGGGCATAATATTATTGCCTACCTAATAGGATTGCTTTGAAAATTGAAAACATTCATCCATATAAAAGCCTTTAGTTTGTGGCAAAAAATAATTTTATGCAAAGAAGTAGTGGTAGTTATAAAGGAGCAGTAGGAGGTGGCTCTTTCAGAAGGCAGGACCTTTATCTGGGCATTCATGGAGGAGCTGAACTTACATGTGGGGATGGAAATGGGGAAGTAGCATCCGGCATAGACTTCATGACAGGTGATTAGGAGCTAGGTTGGTGAAAAGTAGCATCTGAATCATGGATGCTGAGCTTTTTACCTTTTTATTATCAGTGGGAGAAGTTTACAGAATAAGTAATGGGCCAGAGCTCTAGAAGGCACTACCCTCATAAAAACAGAACTGTCTAGAAGGTGGGTGTGTTCGTGACAGCTGGAGTATGACACAGTGTAGGGTATACCAGTATGAGGGACTGAGACTAGGGGAGAACCAAAGAGATGGCACTGCCAGACTGGGGATGTAGCTCAGGGGCAGAGCTGTTGCCTAGCATGTGTGAGGCTCTGAGTTCCATCCCCAGCGCCTCAAGAAAAAAGGCATTGCCTCATGTGGAAATTAAAAACAGCACATAATTTTTATAATTTTGAGCCATATTATTTAAAAGAGCAGAAAAGTCATTTGAGACTACAGTTATTTTCAGGTGTTACCAATTATATAATGGGTGTATCATGTGGGGCTTTGTTTAGGCTTTAAAATTTTCATTCCCTAGAGCTAGAGGCTCTTGATGTATCCAAGTTCTTGCCTCCCTGCTTTTATACTTCTAGTTCTATGGTCAGGTTTGGGTCCTTAACATTTTCTTGTTCTGAATCATCAGTTCCAAGATGTTGTCTCTGCTGTCTTCAGCTTTCCATGCTTCCTGCATTATAAAAAAAGCTCATTACTCCATTTGGATTCATAAACCCACTCCTGGTTTACCCCACAATGATTCTGGGCAATGTGGGTTTTAGGAATTAGATGTAGTGTCTGTGGTATACCTATCTCTTCTGACTTCCCAGATCTTCCTTGCGGAACACGAGCAATGAATCATGGCCTCAAGGGGAGAGGTGAATTCAAATCTAGACTCTGCCAACCATTGTGTGACTTTCTGCTAGTTACTAAAGTATTCTGAGCTCTTTTTTAATCTATAAAATGGCATAGTGGTGCTCAATTCATATTAAGTTAAACTAAGTAAATGCAATGACTTCCAAAATCAGCATTCAGAAGCTTCTCACTTTTCTTTTGTCATTCAGTGTTCAGAGCTTAAGCCCTGTTTGCTCCACAACACCTTCCTTACCTATTCATCCCCTACTGATTTCCTCTGAATTCCAACCCAAAGCTAGCTTACTTAATGCTGTATCATACCAGCATGAAATAGCCCGTTGTGTTTGTTAAGTACTCCTTATCTGCAGTTTCATTTTCTGTAGTTTCATTTACCAGCGGTCACCTGCAGTCTGAAAATACTAAATGGAAAGCTCCAGAAATAGCAATTCATACATTTTGAACTGCATACCGTTCTAAGTAGCACGATGAAGCCTCACTCTGTCTTGCCTTGATGTACCCAGTGTGTCCATGCAGTCAGTCACGCAGGAGCTTCTTGTTGGCCAGATGAATATACAATCCAGTTCCTCATATTCAAATAACCCTATTTTACTTAATTACGGCTCCAGCATGCAAAAGTAGTGATGTTGGCAGTTTGCATATGGTAAAGAGACACCTAACCTGCTTCCTTTAAATGAGAAGGTAAAAGTTCTCAGGAAACAGTGTAGGGCTGAGGTTTCTAAGATTTATAGTAAGAATAGATCTACCCATGAACTGTGAAGGGCAAATCTGTGCTAGTTTTGCTGTTACAGCTCACTGCAAAAGTTAGGACCACAGTACAGGATGAGCAGTTAAAATGAAAAAGACATTAAATTTATATAGGGACAGAACGTAATACGTGGCATTCACTGGAGATCTTGGAAGATACTCTCTGAGGACAAGGCAGATTGCTCCACAAACTAAACACATGTGACAGTATTGCTAACTGAACAGGAGTATTACTCTTCAGGATTCTCCATATGTGCTTCTTTTCAGATTCTCGAGTCAGAGGATGGTTCATGTTGGACTCTTACCTTCCTACCCTTTTTCTAACTGTCTTATACCTCCTTTCAATATGGCTGGGTAACAAATATATGAAGAACAGACCTGCTTTCTCTCTCAGAGGAACACTCACCTTGTATAACCTTGGAATCACGCTTCTCTCTGCATATATGCTGGTAGAGGTAAGTGTTTGTGTAGCCAATGTTGAGTTGGTAATTGGGCCATTTCAGAAGCAATCACGTCTGGCCTAGAACTGTCCAGAGTTGTCGTGAATACTGTTCTATAAGACCTTAGCAACCCAGCACTATTTCTTTCTGAAGTCCCAGAAGCCTTTGTTTCAAACTTGAATTTTCCTTATTCCAATGTAGGTCTATTTTTTAAGTCCTTAATATAACTGAAGTTTAGAATCACAATTTAGATTTGAATGAACATTTATTTATTTATTTATTGGTACTGGGGATTGAACTCAGGACCTTGTGCTTGTGAAGCAGGCGTCGGAACCACTGAGCTAAATCCCTGGCCTTTGAATGAGCTTTTAAAGATCATGTATTATAATTTTATTTTTCCAAATAATAGAACTGCGACTTAGAAAAATTAATTTACCTGAGAATATACAGTGACATAGGGTATTTTGAAAATTAACTTAAAAGTCAAATTTATTTAGCCAGACCGAGGTGCAAATGTGAATGTTGCCTTAAAGAACACTTCCAACATCTTTGGAACAGCGGCCAGAACTATAAGAACAAGTACTGATTGCCCTGCCTATACAAACAGAAGTTATTTTACTATATAGTACCAGGGAAAAAAGTACTAACTGGCTGTAGCAAAAAAGAAGACACAGACAATGGAATAAAAACAAAATATTTAAGTTAGGAGAAAATTATTCAGACAAGTCATAAATGACTGGTAATGACACCATTAAGTCCTTCTTGCTGTCCTTGAATTAAAAAAGAAAACAAATCCTTTCCTAATGGTTGATAACCATTACCCTAAATACGTGGGATGAAGCTCTAAGGGAACTTGAGGCACGAGTTACAGTGCAGGAAATACAATTTAGGGTCAGGAAAGCCATGCTGCTAACTCCAAAATCTTATCACATAGGTGCTCACTAATGTACCTGAGCAAAAAAAAAAAAAAAAAGAGACCTCCTTACTACACACTCCAGGCTGGCCATAGACCTTTTAAATTAATCTTTGTATACAAAGTTAACCTGCTTCTTAGTTTGAAAAATGCATCAACATGGAAAAATTTGTGCATCCTTTAAAAGGTACTCTATTCAGACCGTGGCTTGATGCCGGAGACTCAAATGGGAAATTCAGTTTGCATCCATATTCTTGTGTTGATTTCCCCTCGTTCTTGATTCTTTGGCAGCTCATTCTGTCCACTTGGGGAGGAGGCTACAACTTACAGTGTCAGAACCTTGACAGTGCGGGAGACGCTGATGTCCGGGTAAGCACAGAGTTGGCCATCATGAGGCATTTTCCGTGGCGGAGGCGGCGGCTGGAATGAGACTGCAAGGGATTCCTGTCTTAATAAAAATACAGCAAAAATGTCTGCTGACGAGAGGGGGCTTAACTCGATGCCACGACAGGACAGAATGAGGATGGTTGGCCCTTCCACTGTTAGGAAACTCTCTGGGCTGTCTTTGAGGGAAGAAAAGCAACCTACAGACCATGTTTTGTGCAAGAAATGATATGCGAATTTACTTACAGTATTTTGGGGGGGTCCTGGGGATTGAACTCAGAACCTTGCACTTGCGAGGCAGGCAGCAGCACCACTGAGCTAAATCCCAGCCCCACTTACAGTATTTTAAAAAAGAAACAGTGAAAAAACAAAAGAAACAGTGGCAGTATAAACCAAAAGCTAATCAGGACAGGAAGCAGGACAGGAATGGAAGCCGGACTTCACGCAGTATACCTTGTGCTGTATTTGCATTGGAATCGTTTTTAAAGAAAGCAAGGCAGCCTCCCCTAAAAAAGTTGGAAACAATCTAAAATACATGAATATACCTAAATAGTGATGACATAACTTTATGGAAAATTGTTCAAGTGACCTTACAACAGTATTTTGAGTGGACATCCCTAATGAAATATATCTTAATAGAATTCTGTAATTTTTTTGCTGTTGTTGCTAATACTGGTTACTGCTTTTCTGAGACTGTTACAGAGAGATAGTAGGATGAAGTAAGTGTATAATGAATTAATATTGTTAAAATAGTTAAACATTCCATAATCATAGGTAAAAACTGGGAAAACTTAAAAAAGAACTTATCTTAGAAAAGGCTGAGTTGCTCTGTGACAACCCAGGGCAACAAGCCAGGATTAACCAGATCTGCTCTCTAAATATAATCTTCTACCGGAAGGAGTAATGGCTCTTAAAGAAGTAGTAAATTCCCAGTTGGGCCTGGAAATGTATTTAAGAAAAACCCAGGACATTTTATGACCCAAAGCAAAGAAACTATCCATGACTGCTATGGACAAAAAAGAGAGGCCACCTTAAAAGGACACTCCCTGGCTAGGGCTGGGGATTTAGCTCAGTGGTTCCACCACCTGCCTTGCAAGTGCAAGGACCCGAGTTTGATCCGCAGTAGCAAAAAAAGAAGAAGAAACATTTAATTGCCATTTATATGTGAACTTCCAAATAAGTAGAAACAATCAGAAAATCACATTTTGCATCTCTTAGTGGAATAATGGATCTAGACAGCAGTCATCTGTAAGTGATGGAACTATTGGGTGGGAGCCGTGTAAGACCTTCCCACAGCTGAACTCACTGTGTAGTCTGAGTATTGGCAGGATAGCCAGAAGCTGTACACCACCTGCTGTGCTACAGGGAGAAGCACACAACCTCCTCTGAAGTATTCTTGCCAAGAGAAAATAATTACACCTGGATCTCATCTCATTGCTCGATGTAGGAAATAAAGGGGTGAGGAGGTAGTGGCCAAATCCGTATGTTTGAGATTCTATACAGTTGGTAAATTTTGGGGGGAAAAAGAAAGAGGAGTGGGAACTGTTACTGATTAGAAACTTGAAATTCTTGTAACAGTTGGGAAAATCTGAACGTGAACTATTAGAAGATGTTCAGGAATTTTGCTAGGCAAGGCAGTTACTTCATGGTATGTTAAAACAACAAAAGTCTCTAGATAAAATGATCTTGGATTTGCTTATAATAATCTACACTTGCCCTAAAAAAAAAAAATGGTGGGAATGGAGAAAGCTGCTTTGGAATCATATTGAAAATTCTTAAAGTTCAGTGATAGACACACGATGCTCATTATATTTATTCTCTCTGTATTAGTACATGTTTGAAAGTTTCTGTGATTAAAATACATGTATTATCAATAAGTGATAGTATAAACTATTTAAAATCTCAACCCTTCAATACGTTTTTGGAATGCTCATAACAATGGAACATAATAAAATGCTTTCTCCAAGTTCTTTTCCTTGAATTTTTCTAGGTAACATATGAACTTCATGCAAAAATTTAAAATTTTTAATCTTCGATATCAATGGGTAAAGACATCTTCAGAGCTAGAATACAAAAAGATATATCAGTTTCCGTATACCCCTTTTATTATAATGCATTATCACAAATCAGTGCATTTTGAGATACTGTACAATTTTCTAAAGATGGTTTTATATTGGTGGGTTACTATTTCTGCAGGTTAATTATTCCATCAGACATTAGGATGAATGCCACCATTTCATGATTATCTTGGCAAGAGAGAGTATAGCATAACATTCTAATCTCAAGATCTCTATTACATAACATCTCCAAAAATATCTTACATTTAAAAGTATTAGAAACATAATGCTCTTAACTGGAGAACTGCTTTCCTGTGAATGAGGCTGCATAAGGAACTCTAGAGGGAAACTGGTTAATTCCCTACCACTGTTTATTAGGGTGGATGTCTTTTTTGGTCTGAGGAAGAGACAAAGGATGTGATCAGAGTTGGCCCCTGGGCCAGTGCAGAGGAGCACCTTCACCACGTAGGGGTTTTGGAAAGATAACCCAAGTCTTTCAGCAGAGTGAGGTGGAGAATCTAGAGGCAAAAACACCAGATAAGCAGCATTTTCCATGGTCAGAAAGATACAGAGGGAGCTGATTGCTCAGATGAGAACCAGAACAGGGACATTCTCATTTCTCACCTTTTGTCCTCTTGAAAATGTTCACAGGTAGCCAGAGTGTTATGGTGGTACTACTTCTCCAAATTGGTGGAATTCCTGGACACGATTTTCTTCGTTTTGAGAAAAAAGACAAGTCAGATTACTTTTCTTCATGTCTACCATCACGCCTCCATGTTTAACATCTGGTGGTGTGTTCTGAACTGGATTCCCTGCGGGCAAAGTAAGCTCCCTTGCTGGCCGTCAGTTCTGTGCAGTGGGTCTCACAAGACCACCAGGGCGCCTGCCTCTGTCACGGCCTTATGGGAGAATCAGGAGGGAGGGGCGGGCGGAGGCAGCCCAGGGGAGTGAGGTGTCTGCCGGGGGCCATCTCCTCTCCAGGCCGAAAGAGCTGCTTCTCACCTTCCACCTTCCGTGTAGAAGCCGTTCTTTCCCCTAAGCCCCGGATGCCAGAGGGCACTGCCCAAGCAGGTGCTGTTCGGACCCTGGAAAGGTGGTGCTTGTCAGTGTCACTGCTTCCCTGTGACTCAGTCAGCTCAGCCTTGAGGGCTCCTTGGATTTTCATTCTGGAAAATTAGACAGGCGTCTCTGGGTGGCGCACCAGAGCAAGATCTACAAGTAGTGCATTTATTCATATATTTTGTACGAGACAAAAATTTTACAAAACAGTATTTACCATGGCTCTTCCTGATGTGATGCACTGTGGTTTTTCTTCATACCTGTTTCACTTTTAAAAGAAAGGTGATACTTCATAGTTCACTAAGAGGTTATTTATGAGCTGCAGTTTGAGAAGCTCTGAGCTAAAGGCAAGAGTACTTTCTACTGGACGTTGTTCTCAAGAATTTGTAAATATTCTTTGAAAAATCAAAACAGGTGAAATTTAAGAAAAATGATTTTGTCTGAAGACTTAGGGTTTTGTAGAGATGACAAGAAAAACACCAAAGATACTTGGCGTACAGATGTTCTTTGACTTACAATGAAATTACACCCAATAAATCCATGGTAAGTAGAAAATACCATGAGTCAAGTTTACTACACCTGCCCTGCCGAGTGCGAGCTCAGCCGTGCAGCACACTGTCGGCTGCATCCCCTGGGGCTGATGGGAGCTGTGGTCACTGCCACTGCCTAGCATCACAAGAGAAGATCAGACCATATTTCTAACCTGGGGCAAATTTGACATTTAAAATTCAAATTATGGTTTCCACAGAATGTGTATCCCTTTCAGATCATCATAAAGTTGAAAAAAAATCATTAAGTGGAACTATCAAGTCAGGGATCAACTGTATATCAGTGGCTGTAAAGGTCCAAATGGAAACTACAGCATGAGGAAGGAAATTCTGGGATACAGTGGGCAGAAAGGAACACTTGCTATACTCCTAGAGGAACAGATCGAGTTCCTTATGTTTAGTTATTAAGGAAAGCTATAATCAATATCAGAGGGGAATCACCAAGGTTAAGTATTTTTTTAAATTGTCAACAGTTTCATTACAAATTAAAACTCATCCAAATCATTGTAAAAATAGCCCTGTGAATAAGATACTATGTGACAATTTTCATTAAAGATTTATAAAACTTACCAGCTACTCCTTGTTCATTGATTGATGGAAATGAAAACGCATGAGTAAATATCTCTAATACAGTATTTAGAAGTTACTATACATACATGGTACCTTTTCCTATTCACTGATTTGCCTTTCCCCAGCTACTTTAGGATTAGCGTCTTAGTTACTTTTCTCATCACTGAGACAAAATATCTGACACCCAAAGTTAAAGGAGGAAAGGTTTATCTGGCTCACAGTGTGTAGAGGTTTCAGTCCATAGTTGGCTGGCTCCAAGGCCGGGTGGCATGGCACAGGGGCACCACAGAGGAGAAACAGTCCATGGCAGGCAGAAGGCAGCAAGCGACGACCTTCTTTCTGCCCCAGAGTTGGGGCAGCCTTAATCCTAGCGTGGCACCATGGATCAATCCCAGCACCACACACACACTAGATCCAGCCATGTCTGAAAAGCCCCACCTATGACACCATGAGGCTTTGGGGCGACATCTAGATACAAGCCACAACAATTAGGCTAGAGAATTTAACCAGCATATGTGCAGTGCCCTTTATCTAGTATTATCTCTGTTAATCCCATCACAACCTCAAAGATAGTTATTATACCTACGTTCCAAATGAGAAAATTAAAATTTACAGTCAAATAACACACCAAGCAGACACAATTAAAGTGATCCTCTAACATCATAGTCTCTCCTTCCATAGGATCAATATTTCACAGACCCACAGATGTAAGCCTGGATCCTAGGCTAACACTTGTAAAGCTCTCATTAAATGCTGAGCACTATCCTAAGCACTTCCGTATACTGATCTAATCCTCCCAGCAGGGAGCTCCCTATTTCCAGTAGCTAACCCATCTGTGGCATCTTACCTTTTGGTGTCCAAATCCTTTTGGTAGGTAGTTCACTTAATGTCACACACGGCCTCCTCCTTGGTTTGCTGATACACCAGGCACCCATGTTGGCATCAAGAATAGAGAAAACCTTTGGGGATGATGCCCAGGGACTGGATTTTAGATAGCCCTAGATCCAACTATGTCTGAAAGGTCGATTGCCCAGTCACTAGGCGGGTCTCACCTTACTGGACCTTCTCTCTTTCTCAGATCTCACTTTCTCCAGCATCATCTGGTTCCTCCGTTCCTTAAGATGGAATTTGCTGACATATTTGTGAAGAAGAATATGTATTCTTGTCTCTGTAGCACCCTGTTGAGCCACATTTTTTTCCTTAATTGTGGTGCTGGGGATTGAATCCAGGACCTCGTGCGTGCTAAGCAAGCACACTGCCACTGAACTACATGCCCAGCCCACAAAAGGCTCTTTCTACAATCAAAATGGCTCATCCAAAGTTTAGCCAAAACAAAACCAGTTCTATTTTTGCAGACTTCTGCCACTGGCTTTAAGCTAACAGTAATGACAATAAAAGAGACAGTAAGTCCTTTGCAAATAAATTGTCTGATTGGCACTCTGGCAGAAAAGCTGTCCTGGTGTAGTCCTCTTATCTAGGAGTTTTTTCAGAATCCTAGAGTAACAGCACAAAAAGCAAGGAATCTATCAGCATGAATTTTGTTTTGTGATTGTCCTATACTTACTGTTCAATTTTGATGCACAAAAGAATCACTTGAAAAAAAATGCCGTCTGTCTAAAAGAGCAACTCTTATACTCTTCTTTTATAGGTTTTTTTGGACCAACACTGAACAGTTTTATCCACATCCTCATGTACTCCTACTATGGACTCTCAGTGTTCCCATCTATGCACAGGCACCTCTGGTGGAAGAGATATCTCACTCAGGCTCAGCTGGTATGTTGTCTCCCCCAGTCTTCTCCGTGTAGCTCATGGATGAAGGAAAAGAAATCTAATCTCCTTAGCAGCAGCCTCTTAATCTGGGACAAGGCTATTTTTTTTTTTAATAAAAATGGCCTTTTAAGAATTACATTTTGTGCATTAAAATGTCTTTGGGTATGCAATTAGCTTATAATGGAAAGAAAGTTCCTTGCTTTTAAATGTAGATGAATATTTTTAATATGTTAAATTATTTTTATTTAAATAATTTTAGCTACTTTTTATGAAGGAACTATAATGGACAGTTTTATATATTTACTAATATTAATTTCAAATAAAATTTCTGGAGAGAAAGTGGGCCACTTCCGTATTTTGCTGAGTTTAGCCCTGCAAAATGCAGAGGGCAACAGTGGTTGCTATCTAAACTGAGGCCACTGTGCTGAGGCCTCTAGTCTTGGGCCTGCTTCACTCACCTCCCGCCTCTGCCTGCCCTCCTAGGTGCAGTTCCTCCTCACCATCACACACACGCTGAGTGCTGTGGTGAAGCCCTGCGGCTTCCCCTTCGGCTGCCTCATCTTCCAGTCTTCCTACATGATGACACTGGTCATCCTGTTCTTAAATTTTTACTTTCAGGTACGTGAAATGTCAATGGTCATAAACTGTGCATTTTTACCTTATATGTTGCATTTTACTGATTAAATCTTACAGTAGCAAAGTTTGTGAGTAAATTCAGATAATGGTCTACAAAGGAAAAAATAAAACCTGCATGCTTAATTCTTCTCCCTGCACACTCTTCCTTGAAAAAAACCACAGCTACTGGTAATAGACTAGTAGCTATTCTGTTAAAACTTCACATGCGTGCAGTGAAACATACTCATCAAAACCACTGTGACTTAGTTTTTAGTTTGCATCATGTATGATCACTGTGTTACTAAAATCTGATGAAATCTTCAGGGTAAACAAGTATAATAAGACAGATACAGGAAAACTTATATAGATGGAGAAAACACTTGGGCACAGTAATTTATTAAATTCAGTAAGCCTGTATCAGCTACTTTGATGTAGACCACTTGAAAAAAAATATCCTTTAACATGAATCAGTATGGAAATGTCACATTGGCCTTTTCTTAATTCAAGTGTCACTTTCTTTTTAATTAACAATTTAAATGAGAGAGAGCTTCAAAGTGACTGTTATCCAAGTACCTATGAAAGATAACAACAGTATAGGTCTCAGGTGTTTGTGATTTTAAATTGCTTTCCTTCGTGGACTGGGGAAATGGAAAGCTTCATCAAAGAGATGAGAACACATTTATATCAAAAATGGTACTTCTAAAGTTGTATTCAACCATATTTGCTTCCTTAGATAAATAAGAAGTGCTGTCTAATTTTTTAGTTTGCATTTGCTGAAAGTTAACCCACAGTGGTTTTGTACAATTTTGGGAACTGAACTTTTGACAGCTTTTCTGATCTGATACCTTGTGTATCTGAAATTGAGCTAACTAGGCTTTGTCTCTTATAAGAGAATTTCTAAAAAGTAATCGTCAATGAAACCAAACAAAGCTGCACACACGCATTGTTAAGGGGAAGCCTCTGGAATGCTTTTTTGTGCTAACACTAGAAGAGAAGCGGGCAGACAGCAGGGAGCATGTCACAGCACTGAAAGCTTTAACCCCACATGAGGGTTCACACTGAATCTTAGTCCTAAGCTTGATATACAAAATTTCAGCCTTAACCCTTGTTAATACCAGTGTTGTTTTTTTTTTTAAGTGAAAATGAGATGAGATCAGATCTTTTGCCAAAATAAGAAGGCTGTGGCAGGCTGGGGTGCGGCTCAGTGGGAGTACACAAAGCCCTGGGTTCAATCCCCAGTACCAAAAGAATAGACAAAAAGCCAAGTCAAGGCCGAATCCCAAGTGTTGGTGCTTTCAAAATAACAGCATTTTCACTTAAATTATATATATTTTAAAAATTACATTCTTTCCAAGTGAGCAACTAAGGTGGAATAATTTGAATGCTAATCCCATAATATGCAAATCCTGACCTAACATGAAACTTTTCATTAACTGTCAAGCATTTATCTTGGTTTTTACCTTGTTTTTATCTTTGCCCAGAGGCATGTAGGTGGTCACATTACAAATATGAATTCTGATTAGAAAGTCTGTGCCCAAGAAAAACATGTGCTGTTTTAACTATCTTCAGTATTAAAGGCAAGGTCTTATTAAGGAATCTTTTTTCCCTTTTCTTTTCAACATATACACTGATCCAACAGACATACCGAAAAAAGCCACTGAAGAAAGATACACAAGAGCTACCCGCAGAGAAAGAAGTCAGGAATGGTCTTTCCAAAGCCCACTTCACTGCAGCAAATGGAGTGATGAACAAGAAAGCACAATAAAAATAGAGTAACGGAAAAAGCAAACACATTGCACTAGCTTGGCAGAGTCGCTTGTTTTAAAGCAAAGACTAAATTGAAAGTTGAATGTTTTAGCGTTAACTAATTTCTTTGGCGGTTATAAATCATTTGTACCTAGAATGTATTAATATATTGCCATTAGGTTACTCTGTTAACTGAATGTTTTGGTCAGCACTGAGGTGAGGCTGAACTCTACAGTCCTCAGAACAGGTGCAGCTGCCCCTCCTGCCATCCCACCATCCCACACAGAGGTGCCCATACTGGAAACCGACTCTGTGAAGCCACGCATGTCGTTCTGTGCACACAGCACAGCCAGGAACACAGGGCATTACTTTTCATAGCAGGTTTCCGGGTCCTCAGACTAAACTGTGTACCACAAAATGTTAATGAGGTTGTAAATACAGGGAATATTCTAGTCTACATTAAGCACTAATTATTGGTGCATAATATTGCTTTTGTTTCTAAGCAATATTAGAATCAACTCCAGAAAAAAATTTCAATTGGCGGTGCTGGGGATTGAACCTAGGGTCTTGCACGTACGAGGCAAATGCTCTGCCACTAAGCTACATCCCCAGGTCTGGAAAATATTAAAATGGAATCATTTAGGGACAAAAACCTAGCAAAACCTCTCTCCCCTCAAGCCAGAGTCTTGTCTGTCAGATTTTCAAAAACCACTTCTAAACTTAGTGATATAGTAATAAAATTTTAGTTATTCTAAGAAGGAAAAAATTTCTGCCAAATCCTCATAACTCAGGGGGTTTGGCTAGGAGTCATTTCCTAGTTTTAATTTGGTCTCCTTAATTATTCATATATTCTTGTCTACTCCCATGATAGTGAGCCTTGGTTAATAAAGACACGTGCTCCATACTAAAACCTGTGTTGCTCTCTGGCTGCCCATTTCCTTTCAGAATAAAGACTGTAGTCTAATCATCCCTTTGCTTTAGGATGTATATATGCCACTGGATTATTATAAATCAGAACTAACCGCAATGTGAAGACTGCATTTGTCAACTATTTCTTGTGAGCCTACTCATGAATATTATCCCAAACACTCGTATCAGTCTTTGAAGGTTATTTTAGATTTTGAAAAGAGAAAAAGATGTAGTTTGGAAAGATTTCAACACTGGGCCACAGTGAAAATGCCTTTCCCTGCTCAGAACCGTGACCTCCACATAGAACCCAGCTCAGCCAGAAGCACTAATGAATATTTTCTTTCTCCCCAGTGTTGCGCTATTACTGTTAAACTGTACTGACAGTGAAGCAAATATTTTCTAAAGATTATACCATATAAAACAAGATTTGCCAATTTTGACACTTTATTTTCTTTCCTACTTTATCTTTTTTAAAATGTAAGTTTTTAGGTCATAAAATCAATATCAAATATTGAGCACAGGAAAGGCACTTTTCACCTTTTCCCCAACAATGGTGCTTTTCTACCCCTTTTTTACTGCCCATTTTAACTCTAGTTTTAAAATTTCACTATTGGGGGCGACTTTTTAAACTTATTTCATGTAAACTACCCTTTCTCAGGACTCTGGCATATATTTTGAAGGTGACTAACACTTAGAAGCCGTCAGGATAGATGCACTGTGCCCTGTGACTCCCTTCTGGCTGGGTTTCTGTTGGCCCACTGACTGGTGCCCACCCGCCGTTTTTCTTCTAAATGCTTTTCTCGAACTGACCTGCCCCTGGTGCTCACCACCTTCTGAGTCTTATCATTTACAGCTGTATTCAGCGTTTTGTGCTCTTCCAGGAACTGATTTTGAAACAAGGGCTAGCTTTGAGCATGACTATTATCGTACTGCTATGACAAGACCTAGATCGGACTGTGGAGAAAGTCCCTTTGAAAAATGACTTGAGTCCAGTTTTAGTTCTCAAGCAGCCAGAATTTGTTATCAACGTGCATTCTGGGTAGAAATGAGACTCAGGGAGGAGACACACATCGCTGGTCATTGTGCGAAGCCTATTCTTCATTGGCTAAGACACACGCTCTCACCACGCATTGTACCTGCAGTTCGGGGGATTTCCGTGGGCTTCGTGTCTGCGTGGGACAGTGGGAGTCATCCTTACCCGAATGACAGTCATGCACCTCTCAGTACCAGGCAGCTTCAGACCACTCAGATCCAAGCAAAAATCAATTCTAGTCGAGCGTAATGAAAACACTGAGCCTTAAACCATTCAAGGGCTGATAAACACACAGAGCTATGTGAGCTGAGCCACAAAATTGTAATCAGGTGTTTTAACCTGTCATTAAGTGTTGCAACTTTAAAAAACCAAAATTTTACTTTATTGTGATTTTCCTAAAATGGAGCTGTAAAAAAAAATTGCTATCACTATAATTGTTAAAAAATGGAAACTGTTTTCCCAAATCACTTTCTCTTACCCCAGGAATGAAAATACTTTAAAAAAAATACTGTAAAGTTAGTAATTCCCTCAATTTTTTAAACAAAATGAATTATTTGGTGAATGAGATTAAACTTAAAAATTTTCAAGCCATCAAAATTATATATTGAGCTAGTTAAGCATCTTGATAAATAAAATTCTCTCCACCCCATCAAAGTATTTCTTTCAGGAAAAAATTGTATTTACTATGATGAGAAGATAGCATTTTATATGTAAGAGACCATTCTAGCTTGTCTCAATATTTCTACATCATTTTTGAATGTTTATAGAGGTTACTTAGAAAATAAGGATATGACCTTTTTGTTTTCCTTTAAAGGAAACCTGTATCTTGACATAGTATCATGATTAGGATGGCCAGGGAGGTAGGAAAAGCCATTTTTCTTTGTAGATTAAAAAAACATTCTGTATGAGTGTTGTATAATAAATTGATTTTTACACTAAAAGTATGTTGTGACTTTTGTTATGGCCCAAAGAAGTTAAAATGTGTGTTTACATGGTATTCCAAATGATCACTCAGGGAGTTTTTAAACAATAAAGTGATGTTTTAGCAATTAATTTTAAATGTTAACTCTTTATTTCAATAAGCAATGTGCTTTTATGTTAACATTATGTTAACATAGTATTTATATACCAAGACGAAGGTACTTCAGAAGATGGTCACTCATGAACATTAAAGACCAACTAGCTAAGTAGAGGATGCAGTGATTATTACACATTATCATATGGTATGGGGAGCCTGGGGAGGAGCCCGAGGTTTGGGGTGAAGATACTGGGCAGAAACGGTATCGGGTAAGGGCACCTGGGCTGTCTGCTGACAGAAAGCCTCACTGCAGCAAGGCGCAGGAACGTAAATGAGCAGAGTTCATGCTGAAGCTCGGACAGACACCAGTCAAGGGTGTAGGGCAGAGTCACAGCCTGGCACTTCAGCAGTGTAGAGAGTGCTTTTGAATAGGATGTTGAGGATAACAAGATTCAGAAGCACAAATGGTGTGCTGAACACATCAGTGATGAAGTGACTAAAACTCCTGGGGAGGAACAGCAGTGCAGCAGGGCGTGTTAAGGAAGCAGAAAGGCGGGGAGGCAGGAGACTTCATTATAACCATGTGAATGGGAACTGGGTTGAAGGGTGAGAGGTCAGCATCTTAAAGAGCTGCTGCCTCATTATTTTCCTTCATTATTTTAAACGGGGTGGAACCAACTCCTTATAACTGAATTTTTAAAAATAAAAGATAAATTCCATGTCTCTATGGAAGACCTAAGTACCTGTTGCAAATTAAAAGAGCCTAAAGTCTCTCCATTCCTTCATGGAAGGAAAAGTTCAGTGTGTTTGTATTACAGCAAGCTTTTCTCCAAATCAAATTACATCCACATATTTAAGGAGGAGCTCCTCTCAGGGTCCTCGAGGAAACGGTTCTCACAAGGTGAACTACAGTTGCCTAAATATTTCTTAACCTTCAGGAAAACATCACTTTGAGTCCTGGGCGGGGGGGAGTGGTGACAGCTCTCGATTTACAGGTTGTTTTCCCATGTTAAAGGGAAACCTTGGAATAACACTAAGTGGACAAGACAATCTGCGACTCACCCTGGCTGAGCAGTCTGTCAGTGCGGTCATTACGGAGCCCAGGAGAAACCTGTTACAAAGCTGCAGCTGAATCATGATTGGCAGATTGATGAGACCAAGTTCAGCCACCCTCCACCCTCAAAGCCCTCTGCACATACCTTGAAGTCCACGTGCACTGTGGTCGGAAACTGCCTGGATGTCTTGGCACGGGGCTTGTGCTCTTACATTTGCAGAGGCAGGTTGAGGTGAGGGCTGAGTGGGCTGCAAGGAAGGAAGCAGTAAGAAAGTGGGGGGCCTGGATGGGACGGCAGAGGAGAATCCTCAGGATTGACTTTCCCACTTCATTGCTCCAGTCACCCTTGGCTTTGAACAAACCCTGCAATGAAAGCAGCCCATTAGAGCCTCAAGCCAGTGAGAGCTTCCTCACAGGAAGGAGACCGAGGAAGGAGCCGCGTGGGAGGGACACAGAAGGGATGGTCCTTCATGCCTATCTGGTCGGCTCACGTGGAAAGCACAGAAGCCACGTGTTTCAGGCATGGAACAGGGATGTGGGGACCAAACAAGTACTTACAAGAGCTGCTGCAGAGGGCGGAGGCCAGGCGCAGAGGGACAGAGACAATGCAGGAGACTGAGGCACAGGTGGTCATGAGCTCGCTGGGGCGGGAACAGGGCTATTCCTCCACTGGAGTCAAGAGGTGTGGGCCAGAGCTGGGGAGGGTCCAGGTGCCACCCAGCATCACCAGGTGGGGGACGCAGCTGACGCAGGGCATCAGTCCCTCCAGGATGCCTGGTGGCCCAGCCTTCTCTCCACATTGCCCGAAAAGCTGCATCCATGTCCACATCCTGCTGTCCAGCCCGCCCCCTCCAGCTGGGCCAGGGCAGGGTGCTCACACACACCCTGGCACAGCACCCTGCATGCTGCTTTTCACATTTTTTTATGTAAACATTTGACTAACATCTCCCTGGCGGAGAATTAGGATCTCAAAGTTGGTACTTTTCTGCTTCCGTTTCCATATTCGTATTTGCCTCCTTTCCATCATCCTAGAAAAGCCCTCTCATCTGAGAGCTATTTCCAGCAGTATCCCCTCCTCCAGGAAGCCATCCCCGACCACCAACATAAACGATCCCACACACAGTGTTTAGTTTGCACCTCACCGATGGCTTATGTCACATACAGCATTGATTGACAGCTCCCTGGATGTCTTACTGTCCTCTCTAGATTAAGTTCTTAACAGCTAAGATCATGTCTTATCCATCCTAACATCTTCCCCACAAGCTAACTCAAGAGTTTATAAAAAACATAAGGCCTGGGGATTTAACTCAGTAGTTCCGGCGCCTGCCGCGCAAGCACAAGGTCCCGAGTTTGATCCCCGTACCCAAAAAAAAAAAAAAAAAGATGTGCTAAGAGTTTATAGAAAACAGTCACTCAAATATATGTTCCATAGAAACTGGAAGTCATGTTTCTAGATGCCCTTCAATGAAGAGTCAGTGTAATGCCACCAACCTCCACCCCAAGTCACCAAAAACTGCGAAACTTGAACTGAATGTACCTGAATGAAATGAGGTTAACCACATTTATTGTTTGGACTTAAAAGAATGCCACGTTTTCAATAAAGCTTTTAACAATGTATGAGCGCTTAGCTCATTCAAACATTCTGAAGAAAAAAGATGACAACCCAACTGGATTGTAAACACTTTTTAGGCAAATTAAACTATAGTATAACTTACTAAATTATAGCACATAATGAATACTGTTCAGTCTATAATCTTTGCCTTTTCTTATCCAATCATAAATTTACTTTTAGATGACCTTACAGTAGGTAGATTTCTTTTTGTAAAATAAATTCAAACACTCAATGGTATATGTGGCTTCATGCACTTAAACTTCATGAGAGCATTTAGTGATTATCACATGGTGAATATTTCTCCTCTGCTAAAGATGGTAATTCTGTTAAAGTGCTGGAGAAACTGAAACATCTGCAGCTCCAGTGAATCTGACTAATACCTTTATTTCCCAAATACACCACCCTTTTCACCTGAGCTATTTTCATCATTTTCAAATTAATTCCTCCTTTAAAGAGATACACTAAATTGTATTTATGCTGATGCTGCTGAAGTTTGGGGCTCCACAGAACTCAAAGACATTTTTCAAAAATCAATGTCACTTTTTAAAATCATGAGAAAAAGCAACATCAGTTGAAGTTAATGAACATCTTGACCCTTCTATTATTTGCCCGAAATTTAATACAAAGTTTAATGTTTGTGAAAAAATGGATAACAAAACCATGATGAACTACCAACATATTCTATTTGATTTCAACTCAGAAGTTCCCAGGAATTGTTTAGAGTAGAGAAAGTTTCTTGTAATGGGTGAGAGATAAAAACCGAACGAGCACCAAGCTCACAGCAGGGATTGTGTGGCCCAAGCCAGTGGTAATTCCATCTTCATTTTCCTCTTCCGGTGGCTCAGACTGGTGGAAAAGGAAAAGGAGAACAATAATCAGTCAAGGCTGAACCATCACCTCTCGGTCCCCTCAGAACTCAATGAGCCAATATGAATGTCACCCTATTAGCTCCGTCACTAACTGAGGTATCAGCGAACTTGCAGCCTACATGGCTCCTGGGTGCTAATGTCAGTGCCTGTGGTGGGAACTGCCTTGGAGTCAAAATTATCTGCAAATGTCTCTTAAATGTGGGCCACTTGGAAGCCGAGTGTGCTATCTCTCATGTTTTTTCCTTCTGTGTTGGGAGAAAAGGCAGCTTTTTTTTGGTTATAGGTGGTTTGGCTTTAGGGCCCATGCTGTATGAAAATTACATGCTGTTGGCATTGGCCAGAAAAGACATGTGGATCAATGGAACCGAATAAAGAATTCAGAGGCTTCTGCCTCGCAAGCACAAGGTCCTGAGTTTGATCCCCGGTACAAAAAAAAAAGAATTCAGAGAACTACAGGGACACTTAGCTAACTTATCTTTGACAAAGGGGCCAAACACTTTCATTGGAGGAAAGACAGCCTCTTTAACAAATAGTGCTGGGCAAACTGGCTTTCTACATGCTGAAGATTGAAGCTAGACCCATATCTCTCACCATGCACTAACCTAAAACCAAAATGGATCAAAGATCTAAATATTAAAACAGAAACACTTAATTTTCTGGAAGATGTAACAGGTAAAACTCTTGAAGACATGGGTATAGGCAAAGTCATTATGAATGAAATGCCAGTTGCACCAGAAATATTATAAAGAATCAACAAATGGGATCACATTGAATTAAAAAGCTTCTGTATAGCAAAGGAAACCACCAACAGAATGAAGAGACAACTTATAGAATGGGAAAAAATTTTTGCTAGCTAGTCCTCAGACAGGGCTAATGAATAAAATATATAAAGAGCACAAAAAAGACCCCCAAAATTTAAAGACCCAATCAAAAAATGGGCATCTGAAATGAACAGACACTTCTCAGATGAAGAAGTAGAAACAGCCAATAAATACATGAAAAAATGCTCAACATTACTGGCCATTCAAGAAATACAAATTAGGGCTGGGGATTTAGCTCAGTGGTTTCTCCACCTGTTGCACAAGTGTGCAAGGACCTGAGTTCGATCCCCAGTACCAAAAAAAGAAAAAGAAATACAAATTAAAATAACACTAAAATTCCATCTCATACTAAAAAGAAATCAACCAATAACAAATGCTGGTGAGGCTGTGGGGAAAAAGGAACCCTTCTCTATTGTTGGTGGGAATGTAAATTACTGGTACAATCACCATGGAAATCAGTATAGAGATGCCTCAAAACACTAAAACTAGAGGTTCTGTTTGACCTAGTTATTCCCCTTCTAGGTATCTTCCCAAAAGAGATAAAGTCATCATAACATACGGACACAAGCATACCCATGCAGCCCATATGCCCACCAGCAGATGAATGGATAAAGAAAATTTGGTATTTATATAACAATGGAGTACTACTCTGCCATAAAAAATAAACTTGGGCATTTTCAAGTAAATGGATGTACCTCGAGACCATAATCTTAAATGAAATAAATCAGATGCACAAGTTTAAATATCACATCGCTTTTCTTGTGTGAGAAACCCAAAGTATAATTAAGGAAGAAAATAGAGGATAGACATTAGGAAATAGACATTTCTAAATGGGGAGGTGAACAAGAGATGGGACAGAGGGGAGGGAAAGGGAATCTGAAGGAAAATATTCGAGGGGAGAATAGAAATAGCTTTCGTAAATGAGGAGGGAAGAGAGGAGAAGGGGCCAGTAAAAAAGAATTAAGATGTGTTATGTACCTACAAATTCCCTATGGTATTAAACTCCAGTTTAAAAAAAAATTACACTGTTTAAAAACATCACACTGTTAAGAACCAGACTGACATTAAGACCAATGAGATGCGCTTAAACAAGAGGCAGGCAGGACCTGCTGTTGATGGAGGAGCAGATTCTTAAGAAGGAGCCAATTCCCACACAAGCCCAGCACACACCCACTGAGAAGGGCAGACAGAGCCACCGGTGCCGTGTGTTCCCCTACTGCTTAGCGAGTGCGTACAATTTAATTCAGGGATGGCAGACCTTAGAGTTTCCTACCCAATATCTGTTCTCCTCAGCTATCTCATGAACAGAACCCCACCTTTTCGAAGTAGGGATGGTACCAGGCTTACATTTCCATGGCAAAGCCCAACTGACCTCCAAGGCTGCTTGACAAAGTCCCAGCTTGGGGAAAAGAAGGGTGGAACACATCGTACCCTCATATTTTATTTTTTTCTTGCCATAATGTTTAAAATTGTTACTCTGGTCACAGGAGTCATTGTGTTTGTGACTAACAACAAACTCTCCATGAGGCAAATAGGCAATGATGTATTGAAATCTGTTCTGGCTCAAAAGTCCCAAAATTCCAGTTTCTCTTAGTTCTATTGCCACATCCACTCCTAAAGAAACCCCTCCTAAAACCCCCTCTGTTTCCCCACTACTATGACTCCCCCTCTTATTGCCGACCTTCTTATTACTAAAGGGGTCTTATGAAGAGGTTGAAAGGACAGACTTTAGATGTAAGAAATAGTGGAAAATGGGAAATAGAAAGAAAGTTAAGACAGATAAATACACTAAGGAGGCAAGTTACTCAGTTTTTCTCAAAGTACTGTAAACATCTCCTGCTCATGGACCATGAACCCAAATAACACTTAAGCAAGATGAATAGAGGTATAGAGAGGTAGAGAGCTAATAGCAAACTATATTAACCATTGTGCAGTTTCTCAAGGGCTAGCTGGTGACCAGAAGTTTGACATTTAATTAATTAAATCTTGCTCGTACCCCCGCTGCTATAGAGAATTTAATTAAGTTACCCTCTGGAGATTTTGATTAAGTTACATTCTGTTCTACTTAGGTTTGGGAAAATAAGGGGACAACTGTGATTTTTAGGAAATGTATTAATGATGTTCAATGATATGAATCAGTTTAGAAAAATATACTGTTTAGTAAAAATAACCTTTACCTCACTAGATGTTGCTAAGGCAACCTAAAATGTAAACATGTTCCGCCCAATGCTCCCTAGCTAGTGCTTAGAGATATAAAAATAAATCAGACCCTGAGACTTCTCAGAGGGAACCTGCACATTGCTTGAGAAGGTTCTTTTCTCACTTGCTGGCCCGAGACCTCTCCCCTTCCTACCCTGCATCGACTGCAGCTGGTCTGCGGCATTTCCACCTCCCCAAACTCCCTTGCAGTAGGGTGTGCTACCTGTCCATTTCTGGCCAGTGAGATGGTGACAAAAATCTATTGGTTTGGGCTTCCAAGAAGATGGTTTACCTGATCTTAAGAGGGGACAGGGGTGCTTTTACCATTACTTATCCCTTTCTTCCTAATTGAAGAGTAGACGAGATACCTAGAGGTAGAGCAGTCATTCTGTGACTATAAAACCGAACACTGTACAAAGAAAGGCAGAGCAGAAAGCTAAAGGAAACTAGGTCCCCGGTGACTACTTAAAGCTGCTATACACTGGTGTGGATTATCTTGCTCTGAGCTGCTTTTCATGGGGGAAAAACAAAATCCCTGTTTGGTTTAGCTGGTGCAGTCTGATTTCTGTACATGTGACCACATGCAGCATGTACATTTAATTCACATTTGAGCCAATTCTCTGCTAAAGCTAGGAATTATTCCAATGTTCTTAGCTAAGATTAGTCTTTTCCCTCCATATTTTCTTTCATTTTCTTTTCTTTTTTTTTTTTTTTTTGAGACAGGATCTAATTGTGTAGTTCAGGCTGGTCTTGAACTCACTATGAAGCCCAGGACAGCCTCGAACTCACAGTGATCCTCCTGCCCCAACCTCCCTAGTACTGAGATTCTCCATATCCTCTTTTAGTCTTATTTTAACTTGGAGATTTGTTATCACTGCTGTTTCCTCAAAAGAAAATACTATTTTTTTTCTTGATAATGTAATTCAAGGTATGTATACAAGGATATTCACTGTAAGTTTATCTGTAATGATAATTTTCAAATGACCTAGATGTTCATCAATAGGGAAATGAATGGTAAGCTGCAGTATATCCAAGGACTAAGCATACTTTGCAATCATTTAAAAAATAAGATTTATATTATTGACTTAGAAAAGAATCCTACTTTTACTGCTGAGTGAACAAAGAACAATATGTAGTATATTATTGTGTTACTTAAAAACATCTAGGCATAAATATGTGCATAAACATTTGTACACATTCTTGTGTAAGCATCAGAACATACGTCTGGAAGAAGCCAAGTATGGTGGTGAATGCCTATAATCCCAGCACTCTGGAAAGCTCAGGCAGGAGAATCACAAGTTTGAGAACAGCCTGGGTAATTCAAGGACTTAGTGAGACTCTGTCTCAAACTAAAACATAAAGAATGGCTAGAGATGTAGCTCAGTGCAAATACTCTAGGTTTAATCCATAGTACTGCTAAAAAAAAAATGCCTGGAATAAAATAGAACTGTACAAAGATAGTTATCTCTGTGTCATGGAAGGACAGGAAAGACAGGGAGGGGGAAACTTTTACTCTTCATAAGCTTTTGTGTGGAGCTTATTACACAAAAGGAATTCATATCTTGTAATGCAGACTCAGCTAAGAAAGTAAATTCACCCAAAATATCACCACTCAGAAACAACCACAGGTGACAAACTAGTGAACCTGCACTTGGAATACAGACCTCACTGCAGACGTGTGTGTGTCCACACACCCCTCTCCTCTGCTTGAGTCCCCACCTCATTGGTCACTCCTTGTCACTGTGCTTTGTTGGCTTCATCTCTACACCAAACTTCACCTTGGAGGGACCAAGAATTTGGTCCTGGGCCACTAAGCCAGCTCACCAGTCACAGGCCCAGCGCTGTCATATGCTCCAGTCTCAAGCAGCCATGTGACAGCTCCATTCCGGCGCTGAAATCTCATGGCACATATGCCCCAAATCAAGCTTTTCACATCTGTCCTCATCCTCCCCCCACC